TTTACAAATGTGTAGATTGTTCATTTTAAATCTGTATCAATCATAATTCTTGTCTTTACTTCAGAAAATTCTTACAGAAAACCTAGTTGAATAAATCAAGTTGTTGAGTTGTGCATTCAAAAAAGTGCTATTTCTGATCTGATGGAACAAGTTCTTATATTTCAGAGTTAGATACACTGATATTGGAAGACACAATAAGGTCAACTTTGATATATATATGTCTCATCTTCGTCGAATTTTTCAAAAATATAATAGCAAAATATGAATTGTATTTTCCATTGTCTGAATATTACTCAACATTTCCAATAAGATTGTTGTCAAGATCACAGAAGACTATAATCGTTAAGTCTTTTCTAAAGTCGAAAAGGTCTGACATAAAACGATTAATCTTTACTATATCCGAGAAAATAATCCAATTCATTCACATTTAATATCTGGTCCTCAAAAGAAGAAATCTTTTCAAATAATAAGTTTTTCCTTTCGGTTATGTTGTGTTTAAATATTCGATGACCTTCTGCTTATGTTTTAGATGAATGCATGAAATCAAGAAAAAACTTTTCTTGTGACATTTCCTTTTCTAAAACTAATGAATACATTGACAGAATCCACATTATTTGGAAACAAAAGTGAGCAAATATATCATTCATGTTGATTAAAAATTGTAAGGAAACCTGTTGGTGTTTTTAGGAAAATCAATGTACAGTTTGAATAAAAAGGAAAATGACTCCTTTTACCATAGACAATGATCGTCATTTCCCTTTTTCTTTTATCGTAACTCAAGTTTCGAGTGCAAATTCTGTCTTTTGCTCAGAAGTACCTATCATTTCAAAACTGAAAGTTTAACAGAACTTGAGGCAAAATTTAAAATATTCAAGACGCTATGCAATAAGGAATATAACATTGAATCATAATCAGTTTTCTTGAAATTTTCAGTTTCTGAAGGTTGACTACATCTCCTTACACTTGATTAATTTTTCACCTCTATCAGAATAATTTTCAACAATGAGAGAAAACCTAACAAGTCTTACAAAGCATAGTTCAAGTGCTTTTTGATTTCTAAGAATGAAGTGCAAAAGTTGTTGACATAATTAACTCATGTAATACGATGCGATTAGATCTACAAGAACTACCTGTTCCATGAAATTATTCCTTTTTGAGAATTCAACTGTTTTTAGACCTTTGACAGTTGAATCCAATAAGTTCAGGTGAACTGCCAAAAATGCGATCGATTCATGTTTCTACAGAATCAAACCGTTCAGCGGCTTTCAAAGCATATGTTGGAAAAGTTCCCAAGATCAGACCTCTATTAAGATTCTGGAGTTTAACAGCTATTCTACTGAGACGAATGCTCATAATTCGTCTTTTGTAAGTTTTTCCCACTTATTTAAATTTATCATGATCAATGATCGAAAATGACAACATAATTTTAATTTTTAATATGCAGGTAGAAACGACGTCGAAACAACAAAGTTGTTTGAGTGTATTATTCAAAAGAAATATCTTTGGTAAAAAGTACAGTGCAGATATTCAACAGCACAGTATGGTTGTATGACGAAGAAATATCTAAATCTCAAATGAAAACACAGCATAATTGCTACTCTAAATAGAGATTCTTGTGATAATATCTCATGTGGTAAACTATAATAATCTCACGTAGAGTTATAGTCCAGTTATTTTGGAGAAGAATGACAAGAAAACAATAACAAGAATGAGACAAAATAAATGACTATTATAGAGTTTTCCTCAATATTTATACATGTTTTAGTTATTTCTAAAGAAATTTTTCTCATAAAGAGATTCATTATTCAAGTCTTTAGGAACTTGTGTATTTCTAGGAATGACGACGTAATTTTTCATTGTTTTTGATACTGAGCATAAACAATGACTGGAAAACGTACAGCTTTGTCAACGTCCCTCTTCTTCACAAAAATTTCATTATAAAAGTTTTTTATTAGGCGAAAATTGTTATTAACTTGCTTCTTTTATTACTTCTGACTTGAAAGTTTTATTTCACATTGAATAATTTAACTAACTTGTGAATTGTTTATCGGAAGTTTAGCAAGGAGTGGCGTATCTCACATTCGTACTAATATGAAACCTTAGTGTCAAAATTATTGAATAGTTCATTTCTTCAAAATTTTGGAAACTTCTATAGGTTTGAAAACATAAATGTGAACTATTATAAGCATAATTATCTATTCACTTGGGGGTGAGTGTAAATGTGGATGATCTTATTCTATACTCTCACCCCATACTAATGATTTCCTCAAAATGTGCTCAATTAAGAACAAGATATTTAAACTCGCACAGGCGCCAGCGATGTGTGAAGAACCGTAGAAGAATATCTTATCCTGTTAGGTATAGCTGACATTGGATGTGGTAGTGATGCTTTCATCAATCAAGCTCCATAGCACACCTACATCCGCATTTGTTGGATCAAAAAAGATTTTTCATAATTTCTTCTTGCTTTATTTCCTTCTATCACAATGCTTTGTTTCTTGCCTATGGTTCGTAAAAATTATTTAACATTCTAATTTGTATTGATATTTTGAATACAAATTGAATAGATCAATACAACTTTAATTTCGTGATATATCTTCCCTAGTTGTAATCGATTTTCATTGACAATTGAAATGTTAGTTAATTATTTAAATGCATCTATTACAAACAAAACAGTTTCTTAACGAAAAATTCTACTTGAACTTTAATTACAGAAAAAAATGATCTAAAACCTCTTATATTAGAATATGAATCTTTTGCCCTGTATATTTGATCACCTCATCATTCATAAAACATATTTAGATACAGTTTCTCTGTACTGCTATTTTTTTTTGTCTTAATATATTGCTTATATCTGTAACTTAAAACGGATAGAATCAAGAAGTATCTTTTACTCTTATGCGAAGAACTTTTGTTAATCAAATGGCTATTGATAAGGTGTCTTATTAACATACAAAATCATGATATGTGGATGGATCTCCGAAATACTTGTCGTATTCTTAGAAGTAAATCTGGCTTTTACTTTTCATAATTAAGTTCATCTGAAGACAATGTGATATGCATTCTGGACACCGGCAATATATAGACTTATTCAATAAAAAATCTGACTAATCATGAGAACTACGAAGTATATGTATGAAAAAAAATATATGAGCGACGTATTATAGCATGATGATGTCTTTAAACGAGTTTCGACCACAAATGTAACTTTCATGCTTTAAGAAGAATGAAATGAATTTGTAGTTTTTAATTAAGGATTGGTGAAGAAGAATATTTAATTGTAGTTCTAGAAAAAAATTCTCATAATTTCGTGATGAGACTGGACTGAAGTACCAGAAGAACTGAACTATATTTCTCCATAGATTTCAGCTTTCTAAAATAATCGATTCAGCTTCATTTAAGAACTTCTCAGCTTGAACCAATTTAATCTAAAGAAAACATCATATGATTTCTTTTTAGCTTTAGTCTCAAAACAAAATTGATTGGGTATCAATTAAAAATTAAACAATGTAAGTTTTCTATGATATTGTTTTAAACAAGAAAATAGTCTCATTTTTGCTAACATATACTTGAAAGCTAATAATTCTTGTTCATTTAAAAAACAAATCTATTGCTCGACTTTCTTGAAGCACGACAGTCAGACAAATAACTGTGAACATTGTTTTTGATCATCATCTCGCTGCAATATGTTATAGTGATGTTGTATCTCATATGCTCTATTGTAAAAAGAAAGATCTTTCTAGTTGTAGGACGTGACATTCCATATTAAGAAAATCATCTTAAGTTTGTGAAACAAATAAACCGATGCTCTAAGATGTAAAAGGGTGAAAAATATTGTAATTTAATGTAACATAAATACGGCGTGCTTTCTATTCATTACTTAAGTTCTTTTATTTCTCTTTAATGAACATTAAGTAAAATGAAGCATTTTAGGATGTTAGGGTGTGGGCGTGTGTGGGTGTGTGTGGGTGGTGGGTGTCGGCTAAGAGAGGAGCTACATCCACAGCCACACCCAGCCACCCACACCCCACATCCACACCCATAAAAAGTCAATTTCAAGTGTTGGTTTTTTTGAAAATATGGATTTTTTAAAAGAGCCTTAAGCATTTAACATAGTTTATTATATTGATCGGCCTTGAATTTCACATATTGTTTCTATTGTAAAACTTTTTTTGATAATTTTTAATATTTAAACCAATCATACAGTTGAGTGTAGTAATGAATGTTACTCACCGAAACAATCTTCCTCACACCTACACTCATCTCGTTCGGCTCAATTCTCAAAAAGCTTTATATGGAAAAGTACTAAAACATCATTAACAAACGAGACTCTTGCAATTTTTCTGCTGGAAGCATGGATATTTGTTAGATGAAAATCACTGGTTTTCAATTGAAAATGTAAGTGATTTCATGAAAAAAGTGAATAAGATACGAAAATCATTATGTGATACATTGCGACCTGACGGCGTTTTCATATAAGTTATGATGATGTTTTATTTTTTGTAGTTTCGTACGATATTCAAAATGTGTCAATCAATTCAACTAAAAATACACGAGCTTAACAAAAGAAAGATTTCGTTTGTTTTCTATTCTTGTCTATGTCGAAATACTGACAGTTATTTCTTTTTTCTATGAATAGCTTCATACAGACATAAATAGATTATTGTTTTGTTCACGCACAACACACAGCGGGATAGTATACAATCAATGTTCATACTTATGGAGCAACATCACTTGCATAACTCTCTTATGAATAAAAATTGAGAAATAATTGTATCGTTCGTATGCAAGTACAAGAATATTCATCTCTTTCTATGTCATGCATTTGTATTAGAAATATGAGCAAAATAAAGATGAGTTTGAACAAGCGTAGTTGTGGAGAACTCCTTTCTAGACAGATAGATGTCCACCTTGTTTTCACCTATTTACACATTCATTTACTCAAAAAAGAATTTGAACTAATTAATCTGTTCACGATGCTTATCTGCACTTTCTCCCATTCAAAATGAATCACTACCTGAAGATGTATTTGACGGTACAGAGACGGGTTCAAGTAATGGATACTTTGGATCTATTTCTTTAACATGTATTATATGGAGTCCATGACCAGAATTGAGACAAGATTTAACTTCAAATTGTCTGGCCGGAAGCAAAAGAATTTCATCTTCCTTAGACATAAATGAATGATTTTTAATATTCTTTCCTGTATGGCAATCGATTTGAAATAAAGTACGGGTTCCAGTTTGGCCCAAAAACATTTCGGATTCCAACACCTCGACAGACGACGTACAAGATGAAAATCCCCACCAAATAAAAGTACTGTCTTTTGGATATTCTGCATGTAAGTCTTTTGGGACTCCTCTATTAACGAAAAGTCGTTCGGATGGTAGGCGAGTCAGTGCTGTCAACACAAGTCGTAAATATCGAAACCAAGGCATTAGTTTTTGTCTTTCTTCGGAGCGTAATGTTTCATTGAGAATGACATAGAGAGAGTGTTCATGAGGCATTGATTCGTACGTATAGAGCATAATTGAAGCAGATTCATCAATTGTTAATCCATCTGCTGGGTTTTTACAGTTCTGTTTGACAATGTGTACATTACGTTCGACTTTTGGTACGATACTAACGAGAGGCTTGACTGCATCTTCAATTGATACAAGTGGCGCGCTTTCATAGCCTTCAATGGGTGCTAGCATCCGCTTTGGTAATGAACTGAAATCGGTGACGCGAAGAGAGATTGATTTGTCACCATTGTTGGTATCCATTTGAAAGTTAATAATCTACAAAAAAATAGATTTTATTTTTCAGAAATACTGAGTAACGAAACTATTTCTGAGACAATATTTTCAAGGTTATCTGAATTATTTACAAGACTAGATTGCTTAATAAGATATTGCGACGCTTATAAAGAAAAAGGGAATTTCGACGATGTAAGAAGAAAATTTTGTAGAACTTGTATGGGGTTATGAGTTTCTGAAATTTCCATTTCTTTTCTGTTTTGGAAACATGCAGATGCTTCATGCGTACAGAATAACTGGAGTTCTACATACTTTCTTATAAGAGAAATGGATTTTAAAAGTTCATGAGAATTTGTTCATATAAATATGGATGCCTGAAATTTATTATATTTTGTGGCTCACATTTTCTGAAGAAGCTATCAATGAAGCTCAACTTAGAATCGTATGTTTGCATGTCGTATAATCAGGTGTATTCAGCTAAATGCTTCTCTGAATTTAGAAGTGTGAAGGGTGTGGGTGTGGGTGTGAGTAGGTGTGGGTGTGGGTGTGGGGTGTGGGTGTGGATCTGGGTGTGAGGGTGTGGATGTGGGTATAGGTTATTCTTCTTCAATCAGCCACACCCAGATCCACCCACACCCACCCACACCCACACCCAGACCCACATTTGGTACTACAAAGGAAATGAAATCTGTTTTCTAGTAACTCAATGAAACAAGTAAAACTTGGAACTTTCGAAAGTTGAGTGTGGAGTGTGTGTGCGATGTGTGGGTGGGTGGGTATGCGTGTAGGTATGGGTGTGAGTGGATCTGAGTCTGGGCTGGATGTGTGATTGTAGGTCTGGGTCTGGATGTTTCTAGTTGGTGCGGGTGAGTGTGGGTGTGGGGGAGTGGATGTGGTGGGTGAGTGTTGGTGTGGGAGGGTGTGGGAGGGTGTGGGAGGGTGTGGGTGTGGGTGTAGGTGTGGGTTGTGGGTGTAGGTGTGGGTTGTGGGTTGTGGGATTGGGTGTGGGTGTGGTTATCGGTGTAGGCGTGGGTGTAGGTGTAGGTGTGGGTTGTGGATTGTGGGATTGGGTGTGGGTGTGGTTATCGGTGTAGGTGTGGGTTGTGGGGTTGGGTGTAGATGTGGGTGTGGGTTTGGGTGTCGGTGTCGGTGTGAGTGTGGTTGTTGGTGTAGGTGTGGGTATGGCTTGTGGGATTGGGCGTGGGCGTGGGTGGGTGAATGGATGTGAATAAATAGGTTAGCGCACCGGTACCAGCACCCATACCCACATCTGCACTCATATCCAAGATCAAAGGTTTCTACTCTCAGTCTTAGATCTTCTTATGTGATCAGAAGCATTGCATTGGCAAGTCAATACAATGCTTTCTTGTAGAAAGTTCGTTTTCATCATGTTCACTTGTGGCTGTTTAGTTAGCAGGTTACCGCCTTAGCCTTTATTTTATGTTGTCGGACTAAAATCCTTACTCTGTCATACTGAGGTACGGGTATGTGGCTCATTTTTTTCCCAATTTGACGAAATCATTGTTGAAAAGAAGCTATTCGTCCATAGCTGCAATCATATTTATGGCTATTTCATCATACTATGTTTATGCTATTTCTCATGAAATTTCAAGTAAAAGTATTCTAATCGCTTGATTCTAGTCTGTACTAACTAAAGATGATACATCGGATGGGGTACAAAAAGGATTGCAACAAGGCGGCTTCACTGAAGTCAATCATATATATCAATTTCATACATATCAAAATTCTCTGTTATCAGTATCCCAGACCGTGTGGGTGTGTGGAGTGTGGGTGTGGGTGTTAGTGTGGGGTGTAGAGAGTAGCGGGTCCAGGTTTTTATAGACCCGGACCCGGGCCCGGGCTCGGGTGGCATTAATTTTCTAGGCCCGGACCCGGATCCGGGCTTGATATATACGGACCCGAACCCGGTCGGGTTCAGACCCGGACCCGACCGGATCCACACCCGTTAAGTGTTTCGCCAATATTTAGCACCATCTGTATATAGGAACAAGTAAAGACTCATGGTTTTAGCTAATTATTGGCTATTCTCAGAGGAAAAGTGTATATACAGGTATTTCCTGTTGTTCACTTGTTCATCATGCAACATGATGCTTAATAATTAAGATTTTACTGCTCAACTGAAAAGAACATTATGCCAACCAAAAAAGCAAATTAGAGAATTAACCCTTTGGGGACGGGCGTGGTATATATACCACCTGGGGTATTTCTCAAAATTTGGGGATGATATATATTTCAAATCAATCAGAAGTGAGTGGAAATAGCCTGTAAAGTAATTTTTCTGTGTTGATACAGTAAATTATCAGTATTTTGAAAGTGTCGAAAATATCCACACAGTGTATTTAGTAGCTTATAACATTACATAATGGACTTTTCCCTTGCTTTATCATACATTCTTTATTTGGATTTTTCCTATACATTATAATACGTCTACCTTCGTATTTTTCCTATTCTCCTGTATACATATATACATATATACACATATACACAAGGGCTTCGTGTTCTCCTATCCGTCGTTACTTTCGTTCTTTTTACTCTAATAAAAGGCTTAATTTTTTCAGAAAAAACCCCGTCCCCAAAGGGTTAATTGATAATCAAAACTCATCATTAAAAATTCCCAAACCAACAGTAACTTATTAATATTCGTCTACTTTTTTGTTTATTTTTCTTGTTTTTTTCAACTTCATTTGTTATTTGTATTTCAAATGACTTTTTAATTTCAAAACTAAAAATAGCCAAGAAATTTTGAAATAGAATACAGAAAATATTATACGATGACCTAAACTCTCCAGTACTTAGATTAGACTTGCAGTTGAATGCAAACCAGGTCTGAAAGTAAATCACATATGGACCCGGACCCGGATGATATCAAATTTCTAGACCCGGACCCAGATCCGAACCCGGGTGGCATTAATTTTTTGGACCCGGACCCGGACCCGATCGGGTCCAGACCTGGGTCCGGGTCTGGACGGACCCGCTACTCTCTAGTGGGGTGTGTGGGGTGTCGGTGGGTGTGGGTGTGGGTGAGTGTGGGTG